GTTCTGGGATTCAAACAAAAATGCACATCTCTACTCCGAGCCCTTCCCAATAGGACTGTGCCCACCCTAACCATTAGATGGAGCTTGAATATGTTCCTGGAAGTTACTGTTGGGCATCAGCTCTGATACCAGTTGTTGGACTTCAGCTCTGATACCAGTTGTTGGACTTCAGCTCTGATACCACTTGTTGGGCTCTCACAACCAATTAAGAGAAAATTAATGCAGCGGAATAATCAAAATTGTGACACAGAAATTTAACGTGGTTCACCCTTAATTGTTTAGGGATACGTCCACGAGACAAACTCCGAATCATTCTACCGCTATTAAAAAATAGTAGGTATACAAAGAGAGTAATACAAAAATAATGGCACTTAAAGTGTTTTCCAAAAACACCCCATAATAATTTCCTCACTATTTTTCCTTCCCAATTTTAGGAAACCCTTCCTAAAACTAGATAACTCTCTCTATATATTTTTTCTTTCTTGTCTGCTGTGTGTTTTGTGCGTTGCAGCTGCCTCTATTTATAGGGAACGAGAGACGCGTAATTAACGCGTTCATTGCCTAACACGTTCAAAACCGCCTAATGCGTCCACTACGTCCACCACCCATGTGTAGCAATTCAAAGCCATCATTGTTGAACTGAATGCTCCTATTTTTCTTACTTTCACACATGTGGGTCCCACTTAAGTGGGCACACCATAACAATTCTCCCTCTGCACACTTAAGTGGGAACATTAGCTATACTCTCCATCATCCCTGTAGCTAACCAACAGGATTCGACTATCACAAAATATCTGATACCGTTCTTGATGAATTTCGAGTTCATTCAAGAATTTCTTCATCCACAGCAACTCCTTGCACGCTTCAGTAATCTTGACTGCCACGACATGACTCCCCCTGCAGATGTGATTGGATATCCTGAAAATCCATTTCACTGCAGTCCAATGTTCCTTTTCAGGATTTGAAAGAAACCGACTTACTACTCCAACTGAGTGAGCAATATCATCTTGACTTGCCACGACATGGGACTCCCCCTGCCAGATGTGATTGGATATCCTGAAAATCCATTTTCATGCAGTCCAATGCTCTCCTTTTCAGGATTTTGAAAGAATGTTCCTTTTCAGGATTTGAAAGAAACCGACTTACTACTCCAACTGAGTGAGCAATATCTGGCCGTGTACAAACCATGGCATTCATCAAGCTTCCAACTGATGAAGCATATGGAATCTTTTCCATTTCTTCCTTCTCTCCATTCGTAGAAGGGCACTATCTAGAACTCAATTTAAAGTGATTAGTAAGAGGACAACTAACTGTTTTAGCGTTTTTCATTCTAAACCTTTGAAGTACTCTCTTAATGTACTTCTCTTGTGACAACCATGATTTCTTGGCTCTTCGATCTTCATGCCAAGAATTTGCTTTGCTGATCCCAAGTCTTTCATAGCAAAAGACTTACATAGTTATTTCTTCAAGCTAGTAATTCTGACCAACAATCAACATATCATCCATGTTGAGCAAAAGAACAATGTAGTCATCATCAGAGAATTTCTTCATAAAAAATGCAGTGATCTGAAGTAGTCTTTTTGTAGCCTTGCTCCCCCATAATAGACTCAAACTTCTTGTACCACTGTCTCGGTGCCTACTTCAAGCCGTATAGGCTCTTCTTCAGTTTGCAAACACAATCATCTATTTCTTCGAAACCCTCTGACTGATCCAAATATATTTCTTCTTCCAAATCTCCATTTAGGAAGGTAGTCTTTACATCCATGTGCTCGATTTCCAGTTCAAGACTGGCAGCCGTTCCGAGCATTGTCCGAATGGATGTCATTTTCACAACTGGTGAAAAAATCAAAATCAATACCCTTTCTCTGATTTAATCATTTCACAACCAGTCTAGCTTTGAATTCATTTTCACCAACCAGTCTAGCTTTGAATCGTGGTTTTGGTAGCTGTGTTCTTCCTACATTGATCTTGAAACACCCACTTGTTCTTCAAAGTTTTTCTTGCCTTTGGGCAACTTCACCAGCTCAAATTGTTTCATCCTCATGCAAGGTCTTCATTTTTCATCTTACATGGCTTCAATCCAAAGTTCCTCTTTGTGTTCATTTTCCATAGCTTCTTCAAAGCTTTCAGGTTTACTCCCTTGTCTGTCGTCAGTTACATAACTCATTGACTGGATATCTAGTTGATGGTGTTCCAGACCTCTACTATATTCTTTTCTAATTTTTTTGAGAAACCTTCCGGTGGTTGCTAGGGTCTGAACCATTGAACACCATAATCTTTCCATCTGGTTTACCATAATCTTCATCTGGTTCATTTTCATTAGGAACTTCTGGATTTTCTAACTCTGGCACTTGTTCTTGTGGAACATTTTCTTCATCTCCAATTTATTTACGTTCTATTGGAGAGAATCTCTATATGTCTGTTGAGTCTTCATCAGATCTATTGGCACTCTGCTTTAATATCTTCAATAGTCTGATCTTCAACAAATACAGCTTCACGACTTCTTATAATCGTCTTCTGGATTGGGTAAGAAAACTTATAGCCAAATTGGTCTTTGTCATAGCCATTGAATACACACTGTCTAGTCTTGACATCAAGCTTATACCGTTCATTCTTCGAGATATGCACGAAGGCTTTGCAACCAAACCCTCGCAAATGATCATAGCAAGCATCCTTTCCTGACCATACTCTCTCTGGAGTATCATACTGTAAAGGGAAACAGGGTGAACGATAAACTGCTGTGAGTAAAGATTCACCCCAAATTCTTTTAGACAATTTTGCATGTGAGAGTAAACATCTGACTCTCTCCATCAAAGTTCTGTTCATCCTCTCAGCCAAACTGTTAAAGTTCTGTTCATCCTCTCAGCCAAACTGTTCAGTTGTAGCGTCTTGGGAGGTGTCGTTTGATGTCGAATGCCATGCTCTTTGCAGAAAGTATTAAATGGCCCAGTGTATTCTCCACCATTATCTGTTCTGATACACTGAAGCTTCTTGCCTGTCTGTCTCTCAACCAAGTTTAGAAGACTTCAATGTGTATACCTAAGTCTTTCTAGGATGGTCATCGATAAATATCACAAAATATCGATTTCCACAATATGACATTATCAATCGTCTACACAAATCTAAATGAATCAAATTTAATACATTCTTCATTCTAGAAGGAGGGATAATCTCGAAAGCTACTCTGTTTTGCTTTCCCACCATGCGATCAGGACACTTGTCTAGGTGAACTTTATCTAATCTAGGTAGTACGTTCTTTCTTGCCAGATTTGTCTTTCTCATGTGGCATAGTCGTTTATGCCACAATTCAACTGTACTATCATTCTCCGCTACACTCAAAGTGTCTTGGGAGAGTTTCGCATGCATCACGTACATCTTTCACGCTACACATCTTTCCGGTCTTTAGCCTACCACAAAATGAAACCGTTTTGTGAGCTTCCACTATGACCATTCTCTGACACGGTGCCTACAGCAAACCTTTAAATCACTCAAATCTGCCACACCGAGATTTGGACGCCATCGCTCGAAAAAGCCCATCTCCTCCATCAAGCTCTTGTCTTCCGCGCTTACGTTCAACTAAAACACACGGCAAATGCACTGTTCTACATTACACATACAGGAGATCTCTCATCTTCTCCATATACTGTATTCCGCCATTAGACTGATAATTCTTCTGTTTTTGTCCATTTCTGACATTGCTGCAGAAGAAATTCATCCACCAACACATCAAAAACCGCTATACAGTGAAACAGTCAGTAGTATACATGAATAGTGACCATGAATAGTCGCATAGCTATGTACTCAAATAGCTGACTGTACACGGCTGACATCAGCTTCTATGCTCGTCTAATACGCTGCTGGGGCCTTCACTTTCGAAACGCCGCACTCTGCACACCAATTACGCTACTGTTCACCATCAACTTTCGAGTTACCTATTCTTACTATCATCACTACAGTCCGATTCTGGCAGCGTCTTCTCCTGAAGAGCGATAGTACCATGCCGACTCGCTCATAACTCTTCTCTTCGCTCGTGTATATTTATTTCAAAATATAACCACGCGATCAGGGTAACCCTACTTCTAACCGGCTAGCGACCTGCCGAAAACACTCTCGCCTCTGCATACCAGTTTGCTTGCCGGCATCAGCCCTCTAGATACCAGTTGCTTGCGGCCTCAACTATCGATACCACTTGTTGGCGGCTCTCACAACCACTAAGACGAATGGACTCGTCATAATTTTCTCTTCGTCGTGGTATATTTATTTTCAAAATATATCCACGGATCAGGTACCGCTATCTAACCGGCTAGACCTGCCGAAACATTCGGCTCTGATACCAGTTGTTGGGCATCAGCTCTGATACCAGTTGTTGGGCCTCAACTATGATACCACTTGTTGGGCTCTCACAACCAACTAAGAGAAAATTAATGCAGCGGAATAATCAAATTTGTGACACAGAAATTTAACGTGGTTCACCCTTAACTCTTTTGGGATACATTCATGGGAAAAATTTCAAAACATTCTTCCACTATTAAAAAATAGTAGGTATACAAAGAGAATAATACAAAAATAGTGGCACTAAAGTGTTTTCCAAAAACACTCCATAATAATTTCCTCACTATTTTTCCCTCTTAGTCCTTCCTAGATACAGTTTTTCTTTTTTATCTGTTGTGTGAGAATAAGAGACGCGTAATTAACGCATTTACTGCCTAACGCGTTCAAAACCGCCTAATGCGTACACTGCGTTCACCGCCCATGTGTAGCAATTCAAAGCCATTGTTGTTGAACTGGCCGCTCCTATTTTTCCCATTTAAGTGGGCACACCATAACAGTTACATGGCAACATGTCATCACCTTGTCGTTTTGGCCTTTTAGCTGGATGGTAATATTATAATTGGAAGTTACATGTCTATCCGTGTTCATTCTCTATATGTATTTTAAAAAATATAAAACAAATTCTTAAATACTAATTATAATAAAGCTATAAATAGGAGCACTTTCACTTCAAATTGAAACCCACAAAGAAAAGAAACAAACATTTATTTCCATACCTTCTTCTCTTCTACTTTGCTTCGCCATTAACCAAAAATCCCATAACGAAAATACAATGTACATACGGGCCAAGATAATGAAGCGAAAGATAGTGATGAAGGGTTCAATGAGCAGCCAGAAGTCTCGTTCTAAAGCCATGAAAATTGCAGTTGGAGTTGCAGGCGTAAAATCCGCAGCATTTGGAGGCCAAGACATGAGTGAGATAGAGGTAGTAGGAGACGAATTTGATGTTGTAAAGCTTGTTTGTCTGCTACGAAAGCAAGTTGGGCATTCAGAGATTCTAAGCGTGAGCGCTGGCGGAGAGAAGAAAGAGGAGGCAGAAGTGCAGCAATTAGTATGGCCTTACATGGGCAGTAATCAATATGTTTATGCAGTTCCTCAGTACTATCAATACTCTGACTCCTTTGCCTATTCCATTATGTAATCTTATAAAAACAGAGCAAAACAGAGGATTTACGGGTTTTCATAATTGAATCTGTTAAAGATGCTATCCTTTGTATGTTGTAATTATTTTGTTTTAAGTTTTCTCTTTTTAATGTTGTAGGGGAACTTTCCTCTTCCCGTTGAGCTCAGAAAATAAACAATCTCCTGTTGTTACTCAGTTGAACCAGAAATGAAAAATCAAAATTCATAGAACACTCGAACAATCTTCCCATTCTTCATAAATCCTAACTTTATGCCCTCAACGTGTGTCATTAACACGTTAACAACTACATATTTTGTTGCTACTAAGAAAATTCTCGAATGAGGTAATTTTTATTTTAAAAAAAAAATCTCAATTATTAGATTGCTTTTTGGTTGATGAAAGAAATTATAATATAATGAAAAGAAGTTAAGCGCAATGAAGCAACGAGTCTTTGGTCTTATTTAGCTTTCTTTCTCCATTGGTCTAAATTTCTTTTAATAAATGATTTATGGAGTTTTACTGGGCCATGTTCAAACTATTATTATTATCTGGCCTCTATCTTTCTGATGATGAAAACATCTTATTGATTGTTGAAAAGTTAGCCTTAAATTAATTTAAAGGGACTTGATTGCTTTGATGATGAAATTGAGATGACATCCTACAAAGATCACTTTGTGTTATGTCATTTTGAGGAGAAGATATGTCATGTGTATCTCATAAAATCTTCTCATGAATCATAGGAAATGTTTTTTCTTCTATATATGTTCTTTCTATAAAAATTCTATATGCTCTTTAGTTTGTAATTTTTAATCCATGTGTCTATTTATCAAATGTTAATTATTAGTATTGTTGAACTAAAATATCAGTTAATAATTAACAAGACGTGGATTGGGGCGGTAGATAAGTGATCTCAATCTTCCGAAGAGTAAAATTCGATTTTTAGGAAGCGAATTTTATTGAAAAGTCTAAAAACATTTACGTTTTACGGTCCAAAAAAGTTACACCTCTAGATTATCCTAAAAAAAAAAATTAATTAACAATATGATTATTAGATTGTTCATGGATATTTTAAAATCAAAACACCTTTACGTTTTACGGCTCCAAAAAAGTTACACCTCCTAGATTATCCTAAAAAAAAAATTAATTAACAATATGATTATTAGATCGTTCACTGGCAAAGAGTAAAATTCGATTTTTAGGAAGCGAATTTTATTGAAAAGTCTAAAAACATTTACGTTTTACGGTCCAAAAAAGTTACACCTCTAGATTATCCTAAAAAAAAAAAATTAATTAACAATATGATTATTAGATTGTTCATGGATATTTTAAAATCGTATTCACATAATGATTTGATTATTCTATTGATTCAAGTCATCAATTTAGATAAACACCGTGAATCCTTAGCTTATTCCATTAATTCTCTATTATTTTCTCACTGATTTAAGCTGATGAGTATTTACAGTTACATGTATCATTAAGTACTCTCTGCTTAACTTTTGAATTCTTATTATTCTCATACCAAGTCAATCCATACCAAATAAAAGTCAATTAATACTACTAAAACTAACAAGAGGGATTGGTTTAAATGAAAAAGACTCAGGTTATTTAAAAAATGAATGGAGTGTTTTCTACTTATGAATGCAGAAAATTTTCAGTGGGACGCTTTTCTCTTGTGAACTTGACATAGCGTGAGCAAGATTAGACATAGTAAAATGGGCTTGGCGGCTTGCAGGTAACCAACCATTAAGGAGAGCTAGTGGGGTTGACTTGGAGTCAATATGAATAATCTCAGCTAAATAGTTGTTACATATTTGTACCTATTCTAGAAATTCAGAAAGGTCTTTCCGCGTGTATCCTGTTGTTACTTTCAATTTGGAAATTAGATTGTGATACCGAAGCATTAATGGAGGGGAAAGGTAATTTAAATTTTTTTTTTTTGAACTTTAAATGTTTGCCATGTGTTAATTATATATATTAGATGTTCACATTTAGATGTTGAAAATGAGGTCACTATTTTAAATATCTATTCAACAAAAATTAAATTAGGGTTGAAGTCAGATTTGAATTTATTCCGATCTCATATGTGTGATTACAAATTTTATAAGCTAAAATTAACACCAAACAAAATAAATGTTTAAGATCGAAAAAATAATTTTATACTCCTATGCAAAGATATCAAGATCTTTTTATTTATTAAAATTTTCAAACGAGATAACTACTATGTAATTCTTAAATTTTGCTTAAATACATTAATAGGGACCTCAATTTTCATTATTACACTATTTAGTCCCTGCATTATAATTCTATTATACAATAAAATTTAACGTATAGTTTTTCTGATATGTGACTGTTAAATGTTAAAAATGCTCCTAAAGGTAATTACTATATAGTCCCTATAGTTTGGTGAAATGCACTAGTAAAATTTCAATTTTCATAATTTTATATTATCTAATCCTTATATAGTAATTATCCTTGATAATATTTTTGATATTTTACCATCACTTATATAGTAATTATCCTTGATAATATTTTAGTTAACTATCCTTCGATAATATTTCTTGAATTTCTTACCATCACTACTCATAGTAATTAATCCTTATATATTTTTGATAATTTACCATCACTTAACCCGAACAACCTAAATTGCCTTGCAACCTTTCATAAGATAGCAGACATTATAATGCAGAGACTTAAATAGTTTTTAAATAAAAATTGAAAGTCCTTATCATGTTTAACCAAACAAAATCTAAAGCACCTACCTATAATCAATCATTCCCTTGCAAAATTTAGTAAAAATACAATAAAATAAACATCGACGTGCAGCAAGAACTTAAATCATATAGAATCATAGTTGGAGCAAATCAATCATAACACTTTTCCAAGATAAATTATCAACATCGATTCTCCAACGTTATGCTCACCACAAACTATGCTATCAATTTATTTGTGCTTCTCTACTTGCTTTACCTAATTTATTAGTTAACGAATCTATTATAGCCAGTAAAATTTCAATTTTCATAATTTTATATTATCTAATCCTTATATAGTAATTATCCTTGATAATATTTTTGATATTTTACCATCACTTATATAGTAATTATCCTTGATAATATTTTTGATAATTTACCATCACTTAACCGAACAACTAATTGTTGAACTTTATAATATAGCAGAATTATAATGCAGAGACTAAATAGTAAAATAAAAATTGAAGTCCTTATCATTGTTTTAACAAAAAATCTAAAGACTATATAATAATCATTCCCTTCAAAATTTAGTAAAATAAATAAATAAAATGAGTGAGAGAATAAATCATATAGAATATAGTTGGAGAATAATTCATACACTTTCAGATAAATTATAAATGATTTCAAGTTATGCTACAAATATGCTAATCAATTTAATTTGTGTTTTACTTGTTTATAATTTATAGTTAACGAATATTATAGCCCATTTATAAGTTTATATTCAAATATAGACTTCTTTAAAGTCTTATTTAGGTTGCTCGGTAATAATTTTTAAAGTAATATTTAGCATTTTAACTAGGATTAAAATATTACTTCTATTATTTAGACTGTTAGGTGACAATAATCTCTTTAATGTTTATATCACACCTATGAAAAACTTACGGCTATTTAAACGATCATATCTATTAAAACAACTAATATTCATAATTTGATGTTAATATTGGCTCATGAATCAGCTGATAATAAGGCTCGCGGACCTTAATTCCAAAGCTGAAACTTAGTCTATTAAATTTAAATGAGCAGTTTGCTCATTTACCTAACTAGAGTCAGAGGAAGTCAATTCAAATCCAGTTCTGGGATTCAAACAAAAAATGTACATCTCTGCTTCGGGCCCTTGCCAGTAAGACTGTGCCCACCCTAACCATTAGATGCAGCTTGAATATGTTCCTAGAAGTTACATGGCAACATCTCATCACCTTGTCGTTTTGGCCTTTTAGCTGGATGGTAATATTGTAATTGTATAGGGTCTTTCCGTGTTCATTCTCTAATGTATTTTAAAAAATATAAAACAAATTCTTAAATACTAATTATAATAAAGCTATAAATGGGAGCACTTTCACTTCAAATTGAAACCCACAAAGAAAAGAATCAAACATTTATTTCCATACCTTCTTCTCTTCTCCTTTGCTTCGCCATTAACCAAAAATCCCATTACGAAAATACAATATACATACCGGCCAAGATAATGAAGCAAAAGATAGTGATAAAGGTTTCAATGAGCAGCCAGAAGTCTCGTTCTAAAGCCATGAAAATTGCAGTTGGAGTTGCAGGCGTAGAATCCGCAGCATTAGGAGGCCAAGACAAGAGTCAGATAGAGGTAGTAGGAGACGGAGTTGATGCTGTAAAGCTTACTACTCTGCTGCGAAAGCAAGTTGGGTATTCGGAGCTTGTAAGCGTGAGCGCTGTAGGAGAGAAGAAAGAAGAGAAGAAAGAGGAGGCAAAAGTGCAGCAATTAGTATGGCCTTACATGGGCAGTAATCAATATGTTTATGCAGTTCCTCAGTACTATCAATACCCTGACTCCTTTGCGTATTCCATCATGTAATCTTGTAAAAACAGAGCAAAACAGAGGATTTACCCATTTTCATAATTGCAATCTGCTAAAGATGCTATCTTTTGTGTTCAGGAATTGTATTTTTTTTTTCTATGCAATTTATATTTAAATTATAGCACTTTGTTTTTTTCTTACATTTGAATTTCTAAATTTACTTCGTTCATTCCTCAATTGTTCAAGAATTTAATTAGGCTAGGTTTGCAACAAGGAATCAACTTAAATCAGGAATGAAAATGGGAATAGTAATTATTGATTTCGTTTCAATTTTGTCCAACAAATTTAAGGTGGTTATATTACATATGTGAAAGTGAAAATCACAGCTGTCATCCACCAAGTTGGTAATAGAAAATTTATCTTTCACTTCTCTACTTATTTTTCTGATCATCAATTGTTCAAGTGTTTAAAACTAATGGGATAATTTTCGAATGAGAGATCATTTTAGTGAAAAATTTTGACTCAGTGTTGTCTTGAAAGAAATGAATCTTTGAGTAACTATTAAGTATACATAATTCTTTTAGGCTATGTTTACATTATATCGTTGACTACATTATTTGATTAGACTTTTTTTAAAATTTTATAATGTAATTGAAATTATATGTGTAATGTTTATTATTTAAATTGATATAATATTCATTACATAAAAAAAATGTATGTAAATCTCATTAGATTCTTCAAAGGGCATAACTATTCTCAATCACCACTGCAACATCACCATCACAATCACCACCACCATCACTCCACCACCACCATTGCAATCACTACCATTGCGGCTACAATCACTATCAACACCACTGCAACCAGCACTCCATCGCAATTAGCACCATAACCACCACCATTTTACTACCACCACAACCACCGTAACCACCACCACTACCATATCATTATTAATTATCTTTTTATTGCTATAAGAATAGAAATAATTGAATGAAAAATCACTAAAAAGATCAAAATACGATAATTATATATTGTAATTTATTAGTTTTATTAGTTTTATTCAAAACTAATATTACAGTGCTAATATTACAAAGTTTTTATTTTAGAGTGTCAGGGAGACGATGGTCAGATTAGAGTATTTTTGCAATGAGTCGCAAAAGTCGGATTTTTTTAGGTTAAGCCCTTAAAAAATTGTCAAAAGTTAAATAATAATACATAGTTTATTATCTAGAAACATGTGATCTTTTCTATTAGTTGCGTAGCAAGTTGGTATTAAATAATTAAAATATTTTTTTATCAATTATTTAGTGAATAATTTCAATGAATGCAACTATAAAATGAAGCAAAATTTACACTTCCTTCATCTTTAATGAAATTTGTCATTATATTTATTCACTAATGCAAAACTAGTCTTTTACAGTCACCAAACTGCTTTCTGCTTCATTAGATGTTGATTTGGATTAAATTTTATTATTAAATAGTTTGATTTAGTTTGAAAATTTTTATAAATCATGTTCATTTTAATCACTATTGTCGAGAGAAATTTAACTAATTATTATTATTATTCGACAGCAAATACATGTGTATAAACAAAAAATAAATAAATTATGCACTATTAATTCATAATATTGTATTATTGGAAAAAGAATTGAATATTTCCACTCGTGAAATGGGCATTAAAGAAATTTACAATGGATTTATCGCAACTTTGCGACTAATTTACGATCTCATGCAATAGATTCACAATTAAAAATATAATAACTATGTTGCAATGTAATTGAGACCGCTAGTGACCAGATTGCGACCGATTAGTAATCAATCATTGTATTAGGACTTTTTTTTTTTATAGCGCATCATCGTGATCGAATTTGCGATGCCTTAACGAAAAAATTTTCTTTTTTTTCTTGTTTGCGACCGATGTTCAACAGTTTCTAAATCGTTAATGTTGTTCTCAGAGTGCAGCGATGGATTTTAAAACTCTACGACCGGCTATATACAGTTGCTATTACTTGTCCACCGACTAGAATTTCCCCAAGAATACTAGAATTCTTGAATTCTTTCATTTTGTAATAGGATTGATTTCATTATTGTGTAATTACCTTAAGGGACACTTGAAATAAAGGGAAGTTGTATAAATAAACTCTTGTACGATATGAACTGCAATCAACTTTTGAGGCTACAATTGAAGACCAAAGTGGGCTTGACTTGGTCTTTCCGCGTATCAAGTCATCACTTTTATTGTAGAAATTACAAATTATATTGACGTCACTATTTCTTATATTGATGACGTAATTTGCAATAATTTATTGATGTAATGGTCTATTTAAATTGCAGAACTGCTTCTGGATAGATTTATAATACATTTCTTTTTTTTAAGAGAAATTTGCAATATATTCCTTATATATAAATATGTCATAAATAAATCATTAGGCTTCAAATATATAAATTCTAAAAAAAAGAATAGACATCCGGTAAAGTTGATCATTTTAAAAAAAAATCATATAATTGTAACAAATATTATAAAATTTGTAATTAAATGATTAAATTCTTAATGATCCAAAACAAAATCTGAAAAGTAGGAGATATAAATTTAAAATGATGTAAAAATCCTAAATGACTTTGTCTAAGTCTTAAAGCTTCCTAAATGACTTGGTCTAAGTCTTAAAGCTGCTATCTGAATTGTGCTATCCGTTGATTGATATAGTTGGCAAGTTGTGTGGAGTTATGCTCAGAAGTGAGAATTCATAGTTTTTTTTTTTGAAAGGGGTGAGAATTCATAGTTGACTTGCCTCCAATTATTACTTGGGTCTTTATTTATTTTTTTTTTAACATTTTCGAAGTATACTGGTTGGAATAATCTGGATTCATATGGAGTAAATTTATAAAAATAGCAAAACGTTTTTTCAAGGGTGTTTAAAGAGACTATTATTTAAATCTTTTACAAATCATATTATTTTCAATTTCGAATAAATCATTAAGTTGGCGAGTAAAAAGATTTTACAAATAATTTACCCATTTTTAAATCAAATCGGTTTCAATTGTTCATTTTATTGTTAAAAAACAATTTAAACTTTTTTATTACTTTAAATCAGCATTATTTAGTTCACCTCAATTTTGTTAACCAATTAAGTTCAAAATCTTATTGAGTTTCATATGGTCTCAAATATGTTTTAAGGCTTCGTTTATTTCCGTAAATTAATTTGTCAGAAAATATTTTCTACAATTTTTTGTTATTTGGGCGCTTAGGAAAATAAGTCGACGAAAAATATTTTCCTGGTCAAAGGAAAATTAAGTCATTTTTTAAGAAAAATAACTTTCCATCTTCGAGAGAATAAAATATTTTCCGGACATTAGCAAACCTTATTTGTCGGAGAATATTTTCTCACAATTTTTGTATTTGGCCGCGCTTTAGGAAAAATAAGTCGACGGAAAAATATTTCCTGCTCACCAAGGAAATTAAGTCATTTTAAGAAAAATAACTTCTCCATCTTCGCAGAGAATTTTTAATATTTTCCTGGTCAAAGGAAAATTAAGTCATTTTTTAAGAAAAATAACTTTCCATCTTCGAGAGAATAAAATATTTTCCGGACATTAGCAAACCTTATAAATTTATATTTTTTTAATTTATTAATCATCATAATTACTACCATTAGTTACCCTTTACCACTGACCACCACCACCACTGGCCACTGGCTGCTTTCATAATTTATATATATATTTTTTGTATTCTTTTCATATTTAACAATAAAATTTCTATTATTATTAATGTTTTTTATGTTCTTGTAAGATAAAGATTATAATATTTTAAACTAATTTTCAATATTATAACCAAACAACGGAAAATATTTTCAAAGAAAATGTTTTTTATAAAAATATTTTTTAGCAAATTATTTTTTTGTAAATTATTTTAAAGAAACAAACGGAGCTTAAATCTCATTGGAGTCAAGCTAATTCTATTTAAATCCAATTTTGGATTCAAATAAGATTTGACATTTCTTAGGAAGGTTGAATTTTTGAGTGTTTTGAATCACATCAATATTATGATTTCAATAAATTAAAATTTTTAACTCAAATAGAATAGGGTATAAAAGTAAATTAAATCGAATTGAATCAACTCAAATTTAATTTTATTTATTATTAGCAAAATTTGACATATTTTGGGTTTTATAAAAATTAACCGAACTAAAAAATTGTAGTTTTCTCGTTAAAACTGAAATAAAACCAATTATGTAAAATATCAAATCGAACCAGACCGAACCGAACGTCAGTAATTTTTCCAAACGAAGTTCTGCCTTAGTTTTAAAATGCCATGCTAAGCATTAGCTGTATTGACTATTGACCCACCAATGTACGGCTCTTACAAATACAAATTACAACAAGAAGTTCCTCGAAGGCTCGAACTTACATGGCGGCATCTCATCTCATGACACTGTTCGGACTTTTGAGCTGAAAATTGTTTGGAAGGGGTCTTTCTCTTTCCTTGTTTCTTCTTCTCTAGTCTATTTTAAGAATATATATATATATAAATTCTTAAATAATAATGAAGAAAACTCTATAAATACCAGCGCTTTCCGCTTCAAATTGAAACTCACAGAGAAAAGAAACAAACATTTTATACCTGCTTCTCCTCTCCTTTGCTTCGTCAATACCCAAAAATCCCATTAACGAAAATTCAATTACAAACCAGCCAAGATAATGAAGCAAAAGATAGTGATAAAGTTTTCTCTGAGCAGCCAAAAGTCTCGTTCTAAAGCCATGAAAATTGCGGTCGGAGTAGCTGGCGTGGAATCCGCAGCATTAGGAGGCCAAGACAAGAGTCAGATAGAGGTAATAGGAGACGGAGTTGATGCTGTACAGCTTACAACTCTGCTACGAAAGCACGTCGGCTACTCGGAGATTATGAGCGTGAGCGCTGTAGAACAAAAGAAAGATGAGAAGAAAGAAGACAAGAAAGAGGAAGCAAAAGTGCAGCAATTAGTATGGCCCAATACAGCTAGTCAATTTGTTTATGCAATTCCTCAATACCATCAATACCAGCAACACCCTGACCCCAATTCTTGTTCTATCATGTAATTTTATAAAAACAGAGCAAAACAGAGGATTTTGATTGAGTGCAAAACGTTCCAATTTGAAAAGCTAAGATTTTATTCAATTGGAAGCGTTTAGATGGGAGACTTATTTTACTGTATACAAGAGTTGTGTTTAGGGTGTGTTTGTTCTCTCTCAGTACCAAAAGAAAAAAGAAAAAAAGTTTAATATATATGTTTTTTTTTAAACAAGATATCCTCAACATAATTCAAATTGAACAAGAAATCCATAGCATAATTAAAAAAAAAAAAAAAAACATAGAAGACCATAACATAATTTGAAAATATAAGTAGATCACAATGCCAAAATGCAATAAGCTAAACTAAGAATGCCCCCAGAGCGGGCCTTGTAAAATCATCAGGAAAAGAGATGTATTGCTATTCAACCTGCACTTTCAGGAACTTGTCCTCTACCTCGTCCTCAATGACGATATCTACAGCATATTTGCTGCTGCTTCGTCTTGGATTGCATTGGCATTAGGCATTTTGCTGACACTAAAGATTGAAACGGCAAGAATTAACTTTAATTTTGGAATGGTTAAATTGCTCCCGACTCCTAGAGCACACATTCTTCCATCTTTCATCTTAATCAAAGTATAATGTTGTCTACCCATAGCTTCATTGGAGTAATGCCAGAGAATACATCACCTAGTTTCTGGCATACCAAGAGACAACCGTCTGACGAGTAGAGATACCCATAAAATTGTACCGCTGGACCTATACCATGAGGGAATTCAAACCTATCTTCCTTATAAGAAATGATTACATCTTCCAACGCCATCCTTCCCTGTATTGGAATCAATAAGGAAGACACTTTGGGGTAATTAGAAGTATTGGAATATTCATACATATATTTGAACATGTTTCTATCAGTATCCCAACGTCCTTCGCGGGTGGTGTCAAAGTAGTAGAGCATAATCGACACGGTACAGATATACAGATTATGGCCGAGGACAAAATGCCGTCCCACACGATTATCAGAATTATTATCAGAACCACAAAGAGAATAGTAATAGGGATAAGGTAGTATCTCCCAAGAGGAATCGAAAGAAGAGGGATTCAAAACCTCGAAAACTGAAAACCCATGAGGACCGTCTTTCTAGAACATAAATCTTGCCTTCAATTGTTTCCACCATAGCCAACCGTTTGGGATATTTCAAAGAGGCTTCAAATCTCTTAAGGGAACTTTTTGTGGTATCGAATTCGTAGACATCCTTTAAGCCGTCGCCGCCCAGTAGATTTCGAATCTGACAACGGCAATTGGATCACGATCGTCAAGATGACCAATATCTGAATAGTTTACGGCAACAGTTGCTGACGGTGTGAATGGAGGTATAGCTGAAGAGGGATTGTGTTTGTAACTTTTCAGATCCAGACGAACAAGAGAACCGTTAAGATGAACGCACAAAGACTCAAAACCATCCATTCTCTCTTTCGTCGCTGCCATAGACGCACTCTAGGGTTTGAGTGCAGTTTAATACATATGTTTGATTGGTTCCCCTCCACTAATTCTCTCTGCATGGAACTAATTCTTCCATAATCAAAACATCCATTATCAAAATAAGTAAACAAGTAAACATCCATTATAGGGTAAAATACTATTTAGTCCCTAATGTTTGACTAATTCATTAGTCCATCACTCCATTTTGGTAAACCTAATAAATATTATATTATATTATATAGTCCCGAGATTTGGCTCCGTAGTAAAATTTAGTCTTTCTGTAAAAAAAAGCTCAAATGTTACTGAAAATCTGATTTCTTCTCCAAAACTATTTAAAAATATATAAAAAAAATTCTTAAATAATAGTAAGAACAAAAACTCTATAAATAATACCAGCACTTGCCTTCACTTGAATTTGAAACCAACAAAGAAAAGAAACAATTCTCCTCTGCTTCGCTATTACCCAAAAATCCCATAACGAATATACAATTACACGAACCAGCCAAGATAATGAAGCAAAAGATAGTGATAAAGGTTTCCATGAGCAGCCAGAAGTCTCGTTCTAAAGCCATGAAAATTGCAGTTGGAGTTGCAGGCGTAGAATCTGCAGCATTAAGAGGCCAAGACAAGAGCCAGATAGAGGTAGTAGGAGACGGAGTTGATGCTGTAAAGCTTACTACTCTGCTCCGAAAGCAAATTGGGTATTCAGAGCTTGTAAGCGTGAGCGCTGTCGGAGAGAAGAAAAATGAAAATATAGAAGACAAGAAAGGGAAGGCAAAAGCATGGCCATACATGGGTAGTGAATATGTTTATGCAGTTCCTCAATACCTTCCATGCCATTACCAGCAATACCCTGAACCCAGTTCCTGTTCCATCATGTAATTTCATAAGCAAAACAGAGGATTTTGTTTGTGTACATTATTGCACTTTGCTAAGCTTATTTTATGATAGAAGAAGTTATGAGAGTTCTTGTTTGAAGTTAATACATGTTAATTGTTTGTATTCATGCACAGTTAACTAATAAATGCAATATATATTTAAGAGATAAGACTTGTCCCTTCCGTTAATTCTCTTTCTCTGTATATAAATCAGTATATTTTTAATGTTGTGTGGAACTTCTTCTTCTTCTTCCATAATACGAGTATTTTAGGGCATATTTGAAACTTCTAAACTCCCATTATCAATCACCATGGAAATTGAAAAAACAAGTAAATGATGGTTTGGATGGATGGAATGTGAATTCAAATTTCATGGATTGTCACACAGGCAGTTTTTCCATTAAAAGTTATGAATTTAAAAGATATTTGTGAAATAAAATAAAAATTATTTACAAAAATATTATGAAATTGGATTTTTTTTTTTTTTTTTTTGTCCCATTTATCAATCACCATGGAAATTGAAAAACAAGTAAATGATGGTTTTGGGATGGATGGGAAGTGAATTCAAATTTCAATGATTGAGTCACATTCACAGGCAGTTTTTCCATAAAAGTTATGCAATATAAAAAGATATTTGTGAAATAAAATAAAAATTATTTACAAAAACATTATGAAATGTGGATTTTTTTTTTTTTTTTTGATGGGTGAATTAAACACAAAGATTTTTTTTTTTTTTTTTTTGTTGTGAAATTAACCAAATGATGGACATTTTCAATTCTATTGATCATTGCTTTTTAATTAAATAAAAAAATCTTGCAAATTCATGAAATGTTTAAATTTATTTATTCGAAATTAAGAGATGATATTACATATAATTATTTTAAGTCTATATCATGGTTGCTGGAAGAGCTTGTAGTCAATGAATGTGGCATTGACATTTAAAAATCATAATTTCTAAAATTCAAAATAGCAAGTTATTGGATCAACGGTCCAATAATTGAATGTCTATTTAATAATATAAAAAATCAATAATTCATATCTAGTAGTAACATTTTTCCCTTTCAAAATGTCCTAATGTACCAAAAAAAGTACAATAAGAACAAAAATCATGCATCATTTTAGGTTAAGAAGATGAATGTAAGTTCTCTATTTCCCAATTCCCTAAAATTCTTAATTTTCTTTCATCAATAATTTCAATGGGCGGCAACTACTGATTTGAAACTACAGGAGTTTTGGTTTCATTTGAGTCGTGTAAGAAAGGAGCAAGAAAAATGATTTAACTTGCAAAGAAAAATGAGGAATTGAAGTGTTTAATATAGAAGTGTTTAAATATATAATTATATATATACCTATATATATATATATATATATATAATATATATATATATATACTAAAAGCAACTAGAGAGCCTGTAAATATGGTTTTCCGATTAATTGAAAACTATATAAATTTATATTTAATGGTACAACTTTAAAAATTGAAGTGTTCAATGTATATAATATATATAAAGCAACTAACCTGTTAAATATGGTTTTCGATAATTGAAAACTATATAAATTTATATTTAATGGGTACAACTTTAAAAATTGAAGTGTTCAATGTATATAATTTATAAATTGAAGGATTTTATTTAAATAAAATCAAAATTAAGGGACTTTTCTTATAAAATTCTAATGAATCGAGCCAAATTAAAAACTTCTACCGTTGTTGAAGATAAATTATTAATAAATAAAAATAAATTTATCGGTAAACGGCTAAATCAAAGTGGATTGCATTGTAAGGTAAACTTTACTTATAAAATTAAATATCTCAAAATCTAAAATCATTATTGTTTTTGAAAGAGCTTTTACCTAAATATTACGATTTATTCTCAATTTTTTGTAACCCTAAATACAGTTAAGTTAAGCTAAATAGGAGTATAATTTTCCCATGTATATAAAATATGGACATACAAGGTGGCATACATCATCGTCATAAATATATATACGAGTAATTAAATGGGCAGTTGATGTTGGTCCATCGACCATCGTAGTTTTCTTGAGATACTTGACTTGTTCAATCTCCAAAACGAAGTCGTCTTGACATTTACTCGCTTAAGAGAAGACTTGAAGCAAGTCAAGTTTATGTATGGTCTTGCTCATTCAATGAAATTCGTCCACATATGATCACTCCATCATTTTCTTCTCTTAATTTTATTTGTTTTTATTTAATTATAATTTTAAATATTATTATTAGTTATTTTCTATATATTGTACTAATTTTACAATTCTAATTTCTAAGTATCCAAGTTATTAATAAAGAATCAACCAGGTGTATTTTGGTTGGTCTTCTCACTAATATGAACATTAAAGTATTTTGAGTTTAAATTCTCTCGATCACAAAAATTTTTATCAATTTGATGAATCAAATAGATAATTATCTCATATTGTGCAACATATCGTGTTATTTTAATCATTGAATCTACCAATAAATAAATAAATAAATAAAACAGTTATTAATAAGGACCATTGGCAAGTTAAGTTGCAGCCCTGTTATAAGGAAACCAATCAGTAAAATAAGTTGAATCTAAAGAAAGTTAATTCGTAAAATAATCTCAAAATATTTTTCATTATCTTTTAGTAATTTTTTCAAATATCGTAAAAAATTAATTTTTTATATATAGCATGACAATACTAGTCAAAGTCTTTTGATTTTGATAGTTTAGAAGAGATTCGTACTAGGTGGGGCTAATTTTTCTTAAATTTACACCAATTCTAAATGGTCATTTCCTCTTAATTTCATTTATATATATCATTGGATTAGATTTTATATTCACGCGCATTTGGTTTAGTTGTTCGTGCCAGTAGCTAGTGGTTCATGACTGATAGATAATGGCTGATGATTGATAACAATTAGCTAATGAATTTTAGTATCGGGTAAAATTTCGATAGAAATTTATTATTAAAATGTAAAATGACCATTAAGAATATAAATATTTTTATATATTTTTTTATTTTTAAAGTGAATATTTATTCTTTGTTCTAATGTATTATTTAAATAAAAAATATTAATTTAATTTTTTAAATATTATTTAATAATAATTATTATTTTTAAGCAACTATAAATAAAGCAATCTTAAAAAATTAATTTAAAAATTTTAGTAATAACTATTTTTTTGAGCTTAACATAGTCCAAATAAAATCATATTCAAATTAGCTAGCCATTTGACAATGTATGTATCACTCATACATTATTAACAAGCAATTTCAAATCACCAAGATGAGGAACTAAGTTTAACTTAGGACTTATCAATTTCGAGCTAGTTCTAATTTTGATCGGTTCCAATACAACTTTAGTAAAATTGCCATTTTGATATAATTTTCGAAAGTCCTAATCTGACTTAATTACCGCAGCGTCCATATAGGAGCGACTTTTTTAGAGCGACAATTTTCATATTCAAAATTCAAATTCAAAATTCAAACTCGAAATTTTTAATTTCCAATCACTCTATCTTAACTAAATTAACATTAGGTTGGAGGTAGTTGTTTAAAGCTACACTTCTGAATTATACACAGCTCAAATTACTGTGGATCGGGCCCTTAAAAAACAGTGTTACTTTATGATTCCCTATGAAAGCAAGCCACAACCATGAATGAGAGCCAAACCACATTTTCTCCCTTTAGTGTTTCCTTTCAACCTTGTACACTGTGTAAGAAGTCAATAAGTCAATAAAAATTACGTGGACAACTGATATACTTGTTGTAATAATAATGAATAGTGATACCTACCAATAAAATAAAAGCAGAAAAGCTGGATAACAAAGCTTTCATTATACAGGTCTTGGACTGGGCCTTGACTTTTTTTTTCGTAATGAAGCAAGGTGGGCCTAATGGGCCATCCTTATTAGCTGCTCTAAACTTGGCGTTTGATACAGATTTAAGGTGTTGTCCAAGTGTCAGATAGTTTAAAAACGATACTTCGCCCTTTTTTTTTTCTTTTATTATGCCACGTAAAAGAATTAATAAATGGCACGAATTTAATATATTATTTAAAGATTGAATATATAACTAAACACTTGAATTTTGGTAAAAATCTTGTGAGTTCCTGAATTTTAGAATCCACCTTGTCGTATTTTGAAATTCATTTTTTTGTAATAATTTATATCTCTTTGCACTAAAAACAATAATTTTAAAGATTTTTAACTTTTCAACTATCCAATAAGTGTTCAATTAATCTAATTTTACAAGTTTAGGTGTTCAATAGATTAAATAAAATATTTAACAAGTCTAATTTTATAAGTTAAAGTGTTAAATAGGTCAAAACAAAAGTCGAGAATGCCAAAAAGTTTTTGTAAAAAGTACATAGATAATTTTATATGTTGAGCATTGTTTAAACTTGATTAAAATTTATAATTGTACCCTAAAAAATTATCATATATTAAAATTGTACCCGTACCCACAAAATATTTAATTTAATAACAATTATTATCCTTTTTTTTAGAAGAATTACAATTATTATCTTTCAAAGAAATCCTGAAGTGGTATATATACATATATGGCTAAGATTTCTATAGTTAATATCCTTTATTCTTGAATAATTATAGATAAAAAATAATAGAAAATTATATATGTAATAAAAAATAAAATCACAAGTTGTACATAATGAGCATAAACAATGTTTGTGTCACAGAAAAGACTAGTGATTCTTAAATTAACATTTCACATAGTTGGTAGTAGTTATTTGGTAAAAGTTAATAGCATATATACAGGATAACAGCAAACATATGGACAAATTGAAAAAATATTAAATAATTTTACAAAAAATAGTAAAAATATTTTTAAAAAAGGGATAATACCTACTCACTCTGTTCCTACAATTTGAGTTATTTATTATTTTAATTAATAAGGCATATGGTATATGGGGACCAATGTAAATATTTTAATTAAATTAAATTAAAATTTTACAAAATATGTACAACTTGTGTCCATCCCAAATCGTATTCCTCTAATGCTTTCTATTCTACCGAATCTATACTAATTTGTAAATCCATATTTTGTA